GGGCCGTAACTGTCGTTCGGAATACCCCGTGTTAACGTTTTCGAGGTTGCATGATTAGAAAACGCATTCCGACTGTCACTTTCATGATCTGGTAAGCGACGCTTGATAGATCGGATGAAAGGTCGTTCTTACGTGACCCGTAATGGGATGTCGTCAGATCTTTGTTTAGCGGAAGCAAGAACTAAGATCGGATTTTAATTAGATTGTCACCTACCCTGGAAAATAATGTGAGGAACCCCAGAAGGTTCTCATAAGATTGGTCATTTTAGAATCCCTTTTCATATTCATAAGAAATCGTCAATTGTACGATTCCGACTGTATCATAATCATGTGTTTACGAATCACAATCAAATAGTAATGATGGGGTTCGAGCAAAAGTGTGCGTATACTGCACCACCTTTGGCACCCGTCACAAATAAAAGTGTTCACCTGAACATTCAAGGTAGCAGAAATATAAGTAAGGAATTGCATCGGATAACATTTTAGTCACTGGAGCGTCAACCATGGAATTGTCGCCCTCATGTCTACCATGACGACGTATGGTGATCGTTGTGTTAGAACTCCCTATTTGGGAGTTGTTCTCCGTAGTTTGCATGCTTTTGGTATATGTGGAACATACATTTACAAAGGGTGCTGAGCCGTATATGATCATTTCACTAAAATAAGGCGTGAAGGTTCACAGATTGTACCACTGACATAAAAATGTTGGAAAATCAGAATGTTGTTTAAGAGATACACATGTACTGTTCTATTTGAGCCACTATTGACATGCTTGACAACAAAATCACGTCATCGCCTCTGTTTACATAATTACTGGAAACATACGACGTCGTAGGGCCTTACGGAAAATGCGCCATGACTATGGTGCAGGTATGTCACCAGCATCGTCAGTACTTCATGTAAGTGTTTGTGAGATGTATATGTGAATCCAGTGGGCGATATGGGGTGTAATCGTGACGGGTGTTTTTTTTTTTTAGAGTTAATGAACCTGTGTATATTAAGCCTATAACATGTCCCATTTTAATTCTGGAAACCCAAAAGTCCAGAAACTCTACGGTCTTTGCCCAGTCTCGGTTAAAGGTATTTACAAAATTAAACATGCCGTTTTCATGGGAACATACCAAGGAAGAAAAAATGAAGGCCCATGGTCGAAAATATGTTCCTTTACTTAAAACTCATGTTTTTGTTTCGCAAATACATTTAATGTATTCATTCAAGTATCATGACACAAAATTTAACTCATTTTAACTTAATTCAACGATTTTATAGCGATATTGAAATATTTCGCCCATGGGCGAGAAAAAGGTTTGACCCATGGGCAGGCCCATGGGCGAGAACATGTTCCTTTACTTAAAACTCATGATTTTGTTTCGCAAATACATTAAATGTATTCATTGAAGTATCATGACACAAAATTTAATGAAAAAATGAAAAACAAAATGTTCAAAAACTCAATATTTAGACTATGTCGCCCATGGGCCTGCCCATGGGCGAAGTCTGGCCCATGGGTAGGCCCATGGGCGAGAATATGTTCCTTTACTCAAAACTCATGTTTTTGTTTCGCAAATACATTAAATGTATTTATTTAAGTATCATGACACAAAATTTAACTCATTTTAACTTAATTCAACGATTTTATAGCGATATTGAAATATTTCGCCCATGGGCGAGAATATTTTCCTTTACTTAAAACTTATGTTTTTGTTTCGCAAATACATGCAGGTGTTCTTACTATTTTCATGGCACATAATGTAACTCAATTTTACTCAATTCAGCTATTTTACAGATTTATTGAAATATTTCGCCCATGGGCGAGAAAAGGTTTTGCCTTCGAAATCCTTGATTATTATATCATGCCAGAGTTCTGAAATTCAGTGTCAATGTTGCTGAACAGTAGAATCTGATGGACGTTTTGTGCAGAACCTGTTTGACACTATGGGTTCCAGGACCACTAACACTCTGAGCTGAAAAAGTTTGGTCCTAACCGCACCCAACATCTACAAGTTTGTAAGCTTGTAGACATCATTAAGAAGTAATTAACAGTCCCATGCTGAGACCTTTCTCAAAATTCAGACCGGTGGCAGGCTGCCAACAAAGAGAAGAAAATATCGCAACCCCGACACGAGTGTGCTCAGTCAAACAATGAACTTACGACCGGCAGAAAACAACTCCAGTTGAGTATGCCGATGCTGTATCTCAGCCGTGTTGGCCTGAAAATTTAAACATGCTAATTAAATCCAAAATCGTATAATTATTTTTAATAGAAACCGTATCTTAATTTGTTCTTGCACTGCATCATATCGTGTATTCCATCTGTATATGTGTAATGTGTATATGTATCAATGACTACACTTATACCGCATATTCTGCAACAGACTATAATTAATCACCTTATTATTGTCTCTCCATTTACCATGGCTGACTGCACTAATACCCTTTTAACAGTGGACACCGATATCAGTATACATGTAGGCTTTTTGTTCAAAAAGGAATATGCAGGAAATTATATGTAACAATTAACTGTGTACTAATTACATGTTTGAATGTTATCAGTTTTACGTTCTGAGATACAGTGATGTAAGCATCTTCTAAAATCTTCTAAAAATATAATAAAATACAAAACTCTCTGCCGTAATTTTTTGTGGAAATCATTCGATCAAGTAAAAATGACTGCGTGACAAGACGAATCAACTATTTATACCCGATAAAAGAAACTGCCGTATTTTAGGAACAGTGCTATAACAAGACATTTGAAATTTCTAACAAGCAGATACATTAGAGACAGTGATTCGACTACAGGTACGTAATCCGTATCAATCAAAGGTGTAAAAAAACTGAAAATCATATCTGTCGGAGACCTACCAAATTACCAAGTTTTATCATTACTATATTTATTACAATGCAAATACTTTAGTGACACATTTTTTAGAGGAGAGGGCATACACACAAGTATATTGCTTCCGTGTGTGAATGCAGGTTGTACTTGGTATCTCAGTTCTCAGTTTCATACCGGTTGTATAACTGAATTTGTATATGGAACCATTCGTACAGCATGACAATTACTTGCTATTCGTCACTTTACAACACACATAACACGGTCAAACAATTTTAGGCACCGCTTTTGCGAGTTATTTAGTACAATAATGTTTTATTAAAATCTATTTCAATTTGTTTTCACCATTTTCCCTATTGACAGTCGTTGTTACGTGCGTCACTAGGTAATTGGTACGGATTGACCTTGTTTATTGTTTCTATACTTTGAGGATTTCTGTGGCAAGTGGCGGACGTAATTCAAACTCCTTCCGCACTGACACCGCATCAAATATATTTCTGTACCGATTACATAACTCTAATGGACAGGGTCGGGTGGTAGTTCACCGGACGACACTGTGTATATTGGGCGGCTCCTTTGATATCTCCTCCAAACATACGTTTATTGAATGACCCCATTAAACGATGATACACATCTCGATGAATATATCAAGGCACTAATGTATCTTTCATAAACATTTTTTTGTCTTTGTGCTTAATATATCCACATATCAACGAACATTTGTAAAACATGTATCCTAAAAAAAATAAACATTTTCAGGCTAGGTATTTGGACACAGCAACACCTGCATAACTGTTTATTCACGCGTGGTGCGGCAGATTGTAATTGACCGACAACAAGTATTGTAGAATCACCTGTAAATAAGGCCGACACTGTAATTAGACACAACGTACTAATGAGAATATGAGAATTATCATAAGAAGCCTGTTACGTTTTTCTTAACTATTACCATTTTCATACCAAAAGTGACAATGCAGTTAAAAGTTGCTTTAGTGTCACAATATTCACTCACGTTTTCCTCAATCGCATTGAAACATAATTCCTACTGGTCAGTTCGACACTGCTTGTAATTAAATAATTATTTCGAGATTTCGTTAGAATGTAAGATATTCAGCCAAACGTTATGCAATAAAAGACGAATAGTTTTTTTCATTAAAATACGCTCACGCGTACCTGAATATTGCATACCTAGTGTCACGTAATTGCCCAGTGTGATGTATCAACGGGACATAAAATGGGAAATGAAATAGAAACTAACTAAAATTTAATGTTGTGGAAAATAACTCCAATGAATTGGAGTACACGCACATGAATTCGTATGATAAACTGTCAAAACGTTTTGAGAGGTAAGTCCGGGTTCATTAAAGATCGCTACAATATGTAAAACAGGTGAAATTTGTAGAACTAAAGGAAACATCCAACCAAATGCCCTTTTTAAATAGTAATGTAATGATATAATATAAAGTATATTTCACATGATACAATATACTTTGCAAACAGTTAGTTGATGCTTGAAAGGGACTAACGAAAACATAGGCGAAATATTTTAACAACGCCGTAAAATAGTTGAATTAAGTAAAAATTAGTTAAATTTTGTGTCATGATACTTGAATAAAAACATTTAATGTATTTGCGAAACAAAAACATGAGTTTTGAGCAAAGGAACATGTTCTCGCCCATGGGCCTGCCCATGGGCCAAACCTTTTTCTCGCCCATGGGCGAAATATTTCAATATCGCTATAAAATCGTTGAAATAAGTTAAAATGAGTTAAATTTTGTGTCATGATACTTCAATGAATACATTTAATGTATTTGCGAAACAAAATCATGAGTTTTAAGTACAGGAACATATTCTCGCCCATGGGCCAAACCTTTTTCTCGCCCATGGGCGAAATATTTCAATATCGCTATAAAATCGTTGAATTAAGTTAAAATGAGTTAAATTTTGTGTCATGATACTTGAATGAATACATTAAATGTATTTGCGAAACAAAAACATGAGTTTTAAGTAAAGGAATATATTCTCGCCCATGGGCCTGCCCATGGGCCTACCCATGGGCAAGACTTCGCCCATGGGCGACATAGTCTAAATATTGAGTTTTTGAACAATTTTTTTTTTCATTTTTTCTTCCTTGGTATGTTCCCATGAAAACGGTATGTTTAATTTTGTAAATACCTTTAACCGAGACTGGGCAAAGACCGTAGAGTTTCTGGACTTTTGGGTTTCCAGAATTAAAATGGGACGTGTTCTATGTATAACTCACGGAAGTCATTTTAGCCGTGCGTGAAGCTTGTGCGAGTTCGAGCTTTGTCTGAAACTGAACAATGGCTGACCCGTAATGGGATGTAATGGGTGCTGCGGCACATGGTTCACGAGAAGTGCTGCCCATGTCATCAGAACCTGCAGGTTTCCCCGTCGCTGGAATCGTTACTTAAGAATAGCAAAGCAACCGCACGTATTCAAACACGGGGATTACTGACGATGGATGATGACCAGGTGAGCTTTCATAGCTGGTATCTACACATTAGGTATGGCCATCTTGTTATACAAGTCTTCCTCAGGCCTGGCCCGTCGTTCCGCCAACACCCGCCTCGTCGTGTCATACTGGTCTGGGTCCGGGCACTCATTCATCCCGCTTGTCATCACCAGATGACTGTACACGCCTTGGGTCTCCGCCACCTTAAACCGCTTTGGATTCCACTTCCACAACACGTCATAATCACCTTCATTAACGCCATCACCATGCTGGGGTTGTTTGACATTTGTTTGACGATCTCTATTTACAAATTCAACGTCAGCAGCTGAATAACCGTTCTTGGTGCCCTCAAGCTTCGGGGGCATTGGGCGATATATGGCAACCCTTTCTTTCGGTGAAGCTCTCTTTGCTTTCTTCTTTTTGCAACTGAAAATAAACACAATTAAACCAATTGCTTGTATTGAAATCAAAGGGTTTTTTTTAAATTTAAAGATGATCAATAAATAAGTAAATATATATAAACTATGATCGATTGTCATTTAAGATATTTTCTTGAAGGCTCTGCATAACGGAGACGCAGGGTCTATGAAAAAGACGTTTCAATCCTTTGTTTTAAACTGGAAAAGGGAACACTGCTCGATTCTGACTTAAATTGGATGAATTTCCGTCTCAGAGTAGCGGCAGTAATCGTTGAATCCAGTTGAATGAATCGACGTCATCTGAATCGTTGAATTGGGTTGAATGAAATTGACCTTCAAATCTCTGTACTAATTAACACAGTCTGGCAAACTGTTACTAAAACGGATATGGATAAGCTTAGGTGGCTATTCTTCCAGATACATGTATATCTCAACTTAATGCCGAATAGGAATCTTTTGTTTGTTTGTTTGTTGTTTAACGCCGCACTCAGCACTATTCCAGCTAAATGACGCCTTCTGTGAAAATTGAGTCGGGACCAGACAATCCAGTGACTGACATCATGCGTATCGATCTGCGCAATTGGGATACGATGACATGCGTCAACCAAGTCAGCGAACCTGACCACCCGATCCCTTTAGTCGCCTCTTACGACGAGCATAGTCGCCTTTTACGGCCAGCATGGGTTGCTGAATACCTATTCTACGGTATTAAAATAGATAGATTGTTGCTGATCACTAAAGGTGGACCTGTGGTGTGGTCTTTGGAGAGATACTGGTCAAATGAATGGAAATAAACTTAAAAGATAAGAGTGTTTTGAACTTACATTTGTTTAGATGTTTCAGCATATGTACGGTACCATCGCAGTGTTCTAGCAAAACTTAAATGTGTCACATTTCCGCTTGAAATTGAACTTTTCACGTCCGAAACCCCACTTTTTTATCCCACTACATGAAGAATAATGAAAGCCGTCGGGCCTCAATGACGCACAATAAGCAAGGTTTGGCACAATGGCGCACAATAAGCGAGGTGGGGCACAATGGCGAACAATAAGCGAGATGGGGCACAATGATGCACAATAAGCGAGGTATGGCGAGGTGGCGCCCACTGACGTACAATAAACGGGTTGGGGCACAATGGTGCACATAAAGCAAGGTGTGGAACAATGATGCACAATAAGCGAGGTGGGGCACAATGATGCACAATAAGCGAGGTATGACAGAATAAGCGAGGTGGCGACAACTGACGTACAATAAACGGGGTGGAGCACAATAAGCGTGTTGGGGAACAATGGTGCACATAAAGCAAGGTGTGGAACATTGGTGCACATAAAGCAAGTTGTGGAACAATGATGCACAATAAGCGAGTTTTGGCACAATGATGTACAATAAGCGAGGTACGGCACAATAAGCGAGGTGGCGCCCACCGACGTACAATAAACGAGGTGGGGCACACTGGTGCACAATAAAGCAAGGTGTGGAACAATGATCGATGCACAATAAGCGAGGTGGGGCACAATGATGCACAATAAACGAGGTGGGGGCACACTGGTGCACATAAAGCAAGATGTGGAACAATGATCGATGCACAGTAAGCGAGGTGGGGCACAATGATGCACAATAAGCGAGGTGGGGCACGATGCTGCACAATAAGCGAGCTGGGGCACAATGACGCACAATAAGCGAGGTGGGGCACAGTCATGCACAATAAGCGAGATGGGGCACAATGATGCCCAATAAGCGAGGTGGCGCCCACTGACGTACAATAAACGAGGTGGGGCACAATAAGTGAGTTGGGGCACAATGGGGCACCATAAGCGTGATGGAGAACAATGGTGCACATAAAGCAAGGTGTGGAACAATGGTGCACATAAAGCAAGTTGTGGAACAATGATGCACAATAAGCGAGTTTGGGCACAATGATGCACAATAAGCGAGGTACGGCACAATAAGCGAGGTGGCGCCAACTGACGTACAATAAACGAGGTGGGGCACAATAAGCGTGTTGGGGAAAAATGATGCACATAAAGCAAAGTGTGGAACAATGGTGCACATAAAGCAAGTTGTGGAACAATGATGCACAATAAGCGAGTTTTGGCACAATGATGCACAATAAGCGAGGTGGGGCACAATGGCGCACAATAAGTGAGGTGGGGCACAATAAGCAAGGTGTGGAACAATGATGCACAATAAGCGAGTTTGGGCACAATGATGCACAATAAGCGAGGTGGCGGCCACTGACGTACAATAAAGGAGGTGGGGCACAATGGTGCACATAAAGCAAGGTGTGGAACAATGATCGATGCACGATAAGTGAGGTGGGGCACAATGATACACAATAAACGAGGTGGGCACAATAAGCGAGTTGGGGCACAATGGCACACAATAAGCGAGTTGGCGCACAGTGGCGCACAATAAGCAAGGTGTGGAACAATGACGCACAATAAGTGAGGTGGGGCACAACGGCGAACAATAAGCGAGGTGGGGCACAATGACGCCCAATAAGCAAGTTGGGGCACAATGATGCACAATAAGCGAGATGGGGGCACAGTGACGCACAATAAGCGAGTTGGGGCACAATGGTGCACATAAAGCAAGGTGTGGAATAATGATGCACAATAAGCGAGGTGGGGCACAATGATGCACAATAAGCGAGGTGGGGCATAATGGCGCACAATAAGCGAGGTTGGTCACAATGATTCACAATAAGCGAGTTCGGACACAATGATGCACAATAAGAGAGGTGGGGGCATATTGACGCACAAAAAGCGAGTTGGGGCACAATGGTGCACATAAAGCAAGGTGTGGAACAGTGATGCACAATAAGCGAGATGGGGCACAATGATGCACAATAAGCGAGTTGGGGCACAATGATGCACAATAAGCGAGGTGGGGCACAATGACGCACAATAAGCGAGGTGGGGCACATCGACTCACATTAAGCGAGTTGGGGCACAATGGCACACAAAAAGTGAGGTGGGGCACAATGGCACACAATAAGCGAGGTAGGGCACAATGGCGCACAATAAGTGAGGTGGGGCACAATGACGCAGAAGAAGCGAGGTTGGTTAGATTCAATTATGTACAATAAGCGAAGTGGGGGACAATGACGCACAATAAGCGAGTTGGGGCACAATGACGCACAATAAGCGAGGTTGGACACAATTACGTTCAATAAGCTAGGTGTGGCACAGTGGCGCACAATAAGCGAGTTGGGACAGAATGGCGCATAATAAGCGAGGTTGGGCACAATGATGCACAATAAGCGAAGTAGGGCACAATAAGTGAGTTGGGGCACAATGGGGCACAATAAGCGTGATGGAGAACAATGGTGCACATAAAGCAAGGTGTGGAACAATGGTGCACATAATGCAAGTTGTGGAACAATGATGCACAATAAGCGAGTTTGGGCACAATGATGCACAATAAGCGAGGTGGGGCACAATGGCGCACAATAAGTGAGGTGGGGCATAATAAGCAAGGTGTGGAACAATGATGCACAATAAGCGAGTTTGGGCACAATGATGCACAATAAGCGAGGTGGCGGCCACTGACGTACAATAAAGGAGTTTGGGCACAATGGTGCACATAAAGCAAGGTGTGGAACAATGATCGATGCACGATAAGTGAGGTGGGGCACAATGATACACAATAAACGAGGTGGGCACAATAAGCGAGTTGGGGCACAATGGCGCACAATAAGCGAGTTGGGGCACAGTGGCGCACAATAAGCAAGGTGTGGAACAATGACGCACAATAAGTGAGGTGGGGCACAACGGCGAACAATAAGCGAGGTGGGGCACAATGACGCCCAATAAGCAAGTTGGGGCACAATGATGCACAATAAGCGAGATTGGGGCACAGTGACGCACAATAAGCGAGTTGGGGCACAATGGTGCACATAAAGCAAGGTGTGGAATAATGATGCACAATAAGCGAGGTGGGGCACAATGATGCACAATAAGCGAGGTGGGGCATAATGGCGCACAATAAGCGAGGTTGGTCACAATGATTCACAATAAGCGAGATGGGGCACAATGATGCACAATAAGCGAGTTGGGGCACAATGATGCACAAAAAGTGAGGTGGGGCACAAAGGCACACAATAAGCGTTGTAGGGCACAATGGCGCACAATAAGTGAGGTGGGGCACAATGACGCAGAATAAGCGAGGTTGGTTAGATTCAATTATGTACAATAAGCGAAGTGGGGGACAATGACGCACAATAAGCGAGTTGGGGCACAATGACGCACAATAAGCGAGGTTGGACACAATTACGTTCAATAAGCTAGGTGTGGCACAGTGGCGCACAATAAGCGAGTTGGGACAGAATGGCGCATAATAAGCGAGGTTGGGCACAATGATGCACAATAAGCGAAGTAGGGCACAATAAGTGAGTTGGGGCACAATGGGGCACAATAAGCGTGATGGAGAACAATGGTGCACATAAAGCAAGGTGTGGAACAATGGTGCACATAATGCAAGTTGTGGAACAATGATGCACAATAAGCGAGTTTGGGCACAATGATGCACAATAAGCGAGGTACGGCACAATAAGCGAGGTTGCGCCAACTGACGTACAATAAACGAGGTGGGGCACAATAAGCGTGTTGGGGAAAAATGATGCACATAAAGCAAAGTGTGGAACAATGGTGCACATAAAGCAAGATGTGGAACAATGATGCACAATAAGCGAGTTTGGGCACAATGATGCACAATAAGCGAGGTGGGGCACAATGGCGCACAATAAGTGAGGTGGGGCATAATAAGCAAGGTGTGGAACAATGATGCACAATAAGCGAGTTTGGGCACAATGATGCACAATAAGCGAGGTGGCGGCCACTGACGTACAATAAAGGAGTTTGGGCACAATGGTGCACATAAAGCAAGGTGTGGAACAATGATCGATGCACGATAAGTGAGGTGGGGCACAATGATACACAATAAACGAGGTGGGCACAATAAGCGAGTTGGGGCACAATGGCGCACAATAAGCGAGTTGGGGCACAGTGGCGCACAATAAGCAAGGTGTGGAACAATGACGCACAATAAGTGAGGTGGGGCACAACGGCGAACAATAAGCGAGGTGGGGCACAATGACGCCCAATAAGCAAGTTGGGGCACAATGATGCACAATAAGCGAGATGGGGGCACAGTGACGCACAATAAGCGAGTTGGGGCACAATGGTGCACATAAAGCAAGGTGTGGAATAATGATGCACAATAAGCGAGGTGGGGCATAATGGCGCACAATAAGCGAGGTTGGTCACAATGATTCACAATAAGCGAGTTCGGACACAATGATGCACAATAAGATAGGTGGGGGCATATTGACGCACAAAGAGCGAGTTGGGGCACAATGGTGCACATAAAGCAAGGTGTGGAACAATGATGCACAATAAGCGAGATGGGGCACAATGATGCACAATAAGCGAGTTGGGGCACAATGGTGCACAATAGGCGAGGTGGGGCACAATGACGCACAATAAGCGAGGTGGGGCACATCGACTCACATTAAGCGAGTTGGGGCACAATGGCACACAAAAAGTGAGGTGGGGCACAATGGCACACAATAAGCGAGGTAGGGCACAATGGCGCACAATAAGTGAGGTGGGGCACAATGACGCAGAAGAAGCGAGGTTGGTTAGATTCAATTATGTACAATAAGCGAAGTGGGGGACAATGACGCACAATAAGCGAGTTGGGGCACAATGACGCACAATAAGCGAGGTTGGACACAATTACGTTCAATAAGCTAGGTGTGGCACAGTGGCGCACAATAAGCGAGTTGGGACAGAATGGCGCATAATAAGCGAGGTTGGGCACAATGATGCACAATAAGCGAAGTAGGGCACAATAAGCGAGTTGGGGCACAATGATGCACAAAAAGCGAGTTGGGGCACAATGGCCCATGATAGGCGAGGTGGGGCACAATGACGCACAATAAGCGAGTAATGGCACAATGACGCACAATAAGCGAGGTATGGCACAATGACGCACAATAAGCGAGGTAAGGCACAATGACGCACAATAAGCGAGGTATGGCACAATGATGCACAATAAGCGAGTAATGGCACAATGACGCACAATAAGTGAGGTAGGGCACAATGACGCACAATAAGCGAGGTATGGCACAATGACGCACAATAAGCGAGTAATGGCACAATGACGCACAATAAGCGAGTAATGGCACAATGACGCACAATAAGTGAGGTATGGCACAATGACGCACAATAAGCGAGGCATGGCACACTGGCGCACAATAAGCGAGGTATGGCGAAACGACGCACAATAAGCGAGGTATGGCACAATGACGCACAATAAGCGAGGTAACGTACAATGACGCACATTGAGCGAGGTAGGGCACAATGACGCACAATAAGCGAGGTATGGCACAATGACGCACAATAAGCGAGGTATGGCACATTGACGCACAATATTGCGTTATTTCTACAACCGGATGATGTACATAAGAGCGGGCAAATGGATGAATAAAGAAACTTATTTTTGTAGCATGACTGCAATTTAGGTAGACAGGGCGTGACAAACAAATAAAACAGACTGCCTTGGGTATCAGTGTTGAGTAAATAAATTTCTCACCGCTTGACCAAAAAGTAGATGACGATGATGACAACAAAGATTCCTGCTTCGCCGAGAAGAGCATACCTTACTGAAAACCAACAACTTATGTGTATAATTATATTTAGCTAAACAACTAAATGCCGTTATTGACACGTCAACACAAATTCTCCTACTTATGATTATTATATTTTTTTCTGCCATTTCTAATTTTACGATCTAACTCCCAAACAAACCAAGAGCTCGTGACGTCACCAGTTCCTCACAATCCCCACTTCGTCAAATCTCTTTACTTCTCACTTTATCTCGTCTTCCGATGCCTGCCACGGAACTGTGCTCCTGAGACCAGGGTGTCATTTAATCAGAATAAAGTAATGCTAGAAAAAAAACGGGGTCGCATTTGGTTTCAATACCAGATGGAGAAAACCGTAGTTTTATCGAATTAAAAAGGAAAGCATCAATATAGTTCAGTATACGTCCCACTATCAAAAAGAAGAATTCAACACAGCGCCAAAACAATGTCGTACATGTATGTCGTAAAGATGATGCATTATGAATGGGATCAGATTCGACAGTACATTTATCATTGAATGAATTATCATTTTACAAGTATAAAAACATATTACGATCTCTAAATAATAACTTGTAACGTTTGAAAGCATTTCCAGTGTCCTTTAATACTGAGTACCCGAATTGGTAGCGAGATCAGAGTCCGAAACGAAATGCCTTTCGGTGTACAAATGGGTAAACGCAATGGGTAAAAACAGCAGTAGAAATGTGATTTAGAAACTTGATAAATAAGAATTACAATCTTCATCCGAATTAATAAACAACACACTTTAAAGCTTCTACAAAATGATAACTTCTTGAAAATCACAATATTCAAAAGGGGCAGTCGGGTAGCCTGGTGGTAAAGCGTTCGCTCGTCACGCCGAAGACCCGGTTCGATTCCCGACATGGGTACAATGTGTGAAGCCCATTTCTGGTGTCCCCCGCCTTGATATTGCTGGAATATTGCTAAAAGCGGCGTAGAACCATACTCACTCACTCAATATTCTAAAACAAGACCATGATCACAGAGTTACATTCAGTATATTTCCTTTGTCATTTGACTGTATTGAATCTTACAATTGTGTTTGAAAAACCCACAGAATGGATCTTACAGTGTTCATTCTTTTTGTATACGTGAAATGAGAACTTGAAACACAAGATATGCACACTTAAATTAGACGCATTTGGAATTTGGTGTTATATACATATAACAGAGACAAAATAATAGTAACAAACGTACCTTCTGGTTTTTCAAAACAGGCTGAAATGAAAGCACATTGTGTTACACAGCATGGTGGTGATGATGGGTGCGGGAAGAGATGGGGCAGGTGATGATGGGTGTGGGTGTGGGTGGTGTTGGGGGCAGGGATAGGGGTAGAGGTGAGGCCGGGTTGGGGGTAGGGGGTGGGTTTGGGGTTGGGGGTAGGGGTAGGGGTAGGGGTAGGGGTGGAAGTGGGGATGATGGGTGGGGGTGGGGGTATTCAGGGAAGAGTCTGACATTTCATCGATTTAAACAGGATGCATCGATTTCTGACGTTATTTACTCAATCTGCTAATCGCTATTCCTGTGGCCGAACTGGTAGCGGGCTCAGAATAAATAACGAAATGTCTTTCGGAAAACAAGGTATAAATGTAGTTTGACCTCAATCAGATGCGACTACATGTTTGAGTGAATTATCATTTTTTAAGAAAGGAAACGTATTACTTTCTCCAACATAATGACTTTTAACATTTGAAAACATTTCTTAGAATGTGTCCTATTATACTGAAGCACCAGCGGCCGAATTGGAAGCGATATCAGAATTTAGAACGAAACGACTTTCGGAATATAAATGAGTAAACACGGAAGTACAAGATATTGAAATGAAACCATTGTTTATTACACAGGATGGTGGTTGTGATGGGAGGGGGTGTTCAGAAAGGAGTCTAACGTTTCATCGATGTATCCAGAATGGCAATATAATGCATCGATTTCTGACTTTATTTAATGCTTTTCACGTCTTCCCAGTTCAGATGGACACAACCATATATTTGATAAATATCGACGTTTATTACTCAATCTGGCATTCCTGTCATCCCAGACAAGACGAAGACTACCATGTTCTTCTCAAATTACAAAAAGAAAGCTTTAATACAGTTACACGCCTCATGAGGTGAGGTGAGGTGAAATGGGGTTTAACGTCGCGTCCAAGATTATTGCACTTATATAGCGACTTGCATGTACGTGTATGTGTGTGTATGTGTGGCTGCTTGTACTCGTCCAGACTGATGCCGATTTATAGTGCTAGCTCACTGAGATACCATGCCGCAGGTTAACATGAATACCCCACTCAGACACAGTATACTGACTCCGAGCCAACCAGTCCTTGTTTTAGCCCCTAAATGCCGAGCGCCAGACAGGGTAACAACAAGTACAATTTTTTAACGTCTTTTGGCATGACGCGGTCGGGGAACGTCTCATGAACAAAAGGAGGACTTCAACACGGCGCCAGAACAATGTTTAGGTGCGACTGTAAATTTCAGTGTATTATCGACCCGTGAAGATTCCGGGGTAGCGTATGTAGGTCTTCAGCAACCTAGCTTGCCGTAAAAGGTGACTATGCTTGTCGTAATCTGACTTGGTTGATGCATGTCATCGATCCCAATTGCGTGGATCGATGCTCATGAAATTAATCACTGGATTGTCTGGTCCAGACTCGATTACAGACCACCGTCATATAGCTGGAATATTGCTGCGTAAAATAACATGCATTACATTCTCCAAATAACCTTTTTTTCCAAAACATGACTTCTTTATATTGAGACCTCATTGGCCAAATTGGTAGCGAGCTAAGAATCAAGAACGAAATGCATCTCGGTGCACACGGTATTACAGGTTAATACACGAGAAGAAACAGGTTATTACAATATTTGCAAAGACCTGTATCAGCGGATGTAAGGTTATGATAACGTTTGTCAACACCCGCATCAGCAGAATCGGATGTACAATATATTGTCAAGTTAATGAAAAAATATCAGAGGCGACGACCAAAGTTAAACCGGTAATACAGATTAGAGATCCCCATTCGAATATATGAGCCTCCGAAGACATAACATGAGTGACTGGGTTCTGTTGAACGCCGCTTTGCAAATATGCTGTATTTCAGTTATAATTACGTCACGTTTAAATTTACAATGTTGGTGAAACCCACGCGCCCGTGTATGGTGCTGCACGACAAGCTTAGAAACATAATCAGAGCGACGCTGGGATTGAACCCACGATCAAGTCACAGCGACTTGCGACGCCTTAGACGACCATGACGTTTCACAGTGCACTACAAACAATTATTCTAAGAATTGTTTGAGGATGGTAACGTTAACCAACAAAAGAACTATCTTTCATGAAATACAATGTTTGTAAAGTCCTATAACTGCAAATACCAGGTTATGGTGTATATTGGTTATATTGGGTCAATGACGTTTCAGAGTGCACATCAAACATTACTCAGACCGAAATTCATTAAACCTTGTTGGTAAATATGTGATTACCGACTTTTGAGTAGAGCAGAGGCTAACCGTTTGAAGGAACACTTGCACCAATGCATGCAGCAGCAGAGGCTAACCGTTTGAAGGAACACTTGCACCAATGCATGCAGCAGCAGAGGCTAACCGTTTGAAGGAACACTTACACCAATGCATGCATGCAGCAGAGGCTAACCGTTTGAAGGAACACTTGCACCAATGCATGCAGCAGCAGAGGCTAACCGTTTGATGGAACACTTGCACCAATGCATGCATGCAGCAGAGGCTAACCGTTTGAAAGAACACTTGCACCAATGCATGCAGCTACATACAGCGTATCACGGGTCGTTGTTTGCATAGTTAAATCACTGCATGTCTGTACAAAAAGTAGGGAAAGGGCACCTTAGTTGGATAACGTTTGTCCAATCCCGTTGACCATATATGTCAATAAAATATGTTTAAACAAAACTGTATGTTCCTTATTTCAGTTACGCCATCGGAACCCGAATGTATAAAACGTACAAATAAAGACAGCTGAACCCATAATTCCAACACAAACATTACCGGGTACCACCAGTATTCAGTTGGGACAAAGGTTGTTCAACGCCACAGTCGGAACTATCTCTGCTTTATTACGACGGCCTGTACAACGTCAAGTCTGGACAAGACAAACCAGATTAGATATAAAGATACTTTTAACTTTTGAAAAAAACAACCCAGGATTTTAACGATCCACCCGTTATGGGGAAACTAAAATCAGTAATTACACGTCCCATGCTCGACACTGACCCCCAATAAACATTTATATACACAGTAGAATGATCCAACATTCTTTGGCATTTTTAAAACATTAAATGACATACTTATTACCTGCTGTAGCCGAGTTAATCTGGGTGAAGACCAATGTATAGATGGGTAGTAGTAGTATCCTCTCAGGCGCCATTCTGAAATGCACAGCAGCTCACTATAGAACAAGTAGAAACTAATGCTATGTGGAAATGAATAAAACACCCATTTGTTTGTGATCTCATAACAGTGTTTACCGGACAATTTCCTTGATGGCGATTACCGTGTCTATTGCTCAAACACTACTCAAATGTGACAGGGTGACATGCTGAGTATTGTGAATGCATTCAGATGCTATTGCTTCCGGAACACGCGGAACTATTTCTAACAACCCGACTATGTGTTGCCTTTGTGCTGCAAATTTTATTTGAAACTGATAACTCACACCCGGAAATATTTCCTCTCACCGAGATCATAACTTGAGGATCAACATGCCTGCAGTCCAGTCTCAGTCCATGATAAGCGGGTCATTCAATAACTTCTCTGTGCGTGTGTGTACGTTTGTGTGCGTGCGTGTGCGTTCGCTTCCGCTTTGTCTGTGTCTGTGTGTGTGTAAAGTGTGTGTATGAGCGTGGGTGTTATAGTGTGTGTTTCTGTCTATCTATGTGAGTGTGTGTCTTTGTCTGTGTGTGTGTAAAGTGTGTGTATGAGCGTGGGTGTTATAGTGGTAGTTTATGTCTATCTATGTGAGTGTGTATGTCTTTGTCTATGTGTGTGTAAAGTGTGTGTATGAGCGTGGGTGTTGATGTGTGTGTTTCTGTCTATCTATGTGATCGTGTGTGTGTCTTTGTCTGTGTGTGTGTGTAAAGTGTGTGTATGAGCGTGGGTGTTAAAGTGTGTGTTTCTGTCTATCTATGTGAGTGTGTGTGTCTTTGTCTGTGTGTGTGTAAAGTGTGTGTATGGGCGTGGGTGTTGATGTGGATGTTTCTGTCTATCCATGTGAGTGTGTGTGTCTTTGTCTATGTGTGTGTGTAAAGTGTGTGTATGGGCGTGGGTGTTGATGTGTGTGTTTCTGTCTATCTATGTGAGTGTGTGTGTCTTTGTCTGTGTGTGTGTGTGTGTAAAGTGTGTGTATGAGCGTGGGTGTTGATGTGTGTGTTTCTGTCTATCTATGTGAGTGTGTGTGTCTTTGTCTGTGTGTGTGTAAAGTGTGTGTATGAGCGTGGGTGTTGATGTGTGTGTTTCTGTCTATTTATGTGAGTGTGTGTCTTTGTCTGTGTCTGTGTTTGTAAAGCGTGTGTATGAGTGTGGGTGTTGATGTGTGTGTTTCTGTCTATCAATTTGAGTGTGTGTGTCCTTGTCTGTGTTACAGTGACTTAAATCAACCACATCACTGAGCCTGGCAGCCTGATCAATTCAGTTGCCTTATACGATAAGCAAACGTTTCTCTGGCCCGAAATCGTCAAGTAGGTATCTAGAGTCGGTCTTCAGCCACAACGTACTGGTACATTAGTCTCACATCTCAACCCTATACGACCTCACCCACGACCCCCCCCCCCCCCCCCCCTGCACTCTTCCCCCAAAATAAAAAAACCAAAAACGTTTTATGATGATGTATCTTAAGTAAGTACATATCAAAGTATATTTGACCCGCGTCCGTGGTCTAGTGGTAGAGCGTCCGCCCAGAGACGAAGGTCGGGGTTCGATTCCCGGTTGCGGCATACTAAAAGGTGTTAAAAAGGTACTTCTTGTTACCCTGCCTGGCGCTCTGCATTCAGGGGCTAAAACAAGGACTGGTCGTCTCGGTGCCAGCATACTGTGCTGAGTGGGGCGTTCAGGTTCAACTGCGGCATGGTATCTCAGTGTGCTAGCACTAATAAATCGGCATCAGTCCCAACTAGTACAAGCAGCCACAAAAACACACACACGTACATGCACGTCGCTATGTAAGTGCAATTATCTTGGACGCGACGTTAAACCCCATTTCACCTCACCTCATAGAAGTACTTTATAGGATAATGTATGAAAATACCGGTGATTCTCACGGAGCCTGCACTACACGTTATCCGAACTAGTATATTACGGCGTATCTATTTTAATTTAAACACCATAAATACATGGCCTAGTTCTATAACACCCGGGAACCTGATAATAACCCAGTAAAACAATGTATCGGGACTGAATCTTTAAATCAGTTTATTTATTGTGAGCAGGTAAACGAAATGTCGTATGATACAAACTATAGTCGGTCTTGCGCTGAAGGGACTTTGTTTGAAAACAGCCAAAAACACGATGTGAAGATTGTAGTGAACAAATTGTATTTTCTATTTCACTATGGAAAGATTACCTCATGTACTTGAACGCAACAAGATACGAAAATAGATTGGATGTTGAGTATAGAAAAGGATGTCCCAGTTTTGATTTGACTGTACTTATTATCTTAGTACTTTCGTTGTCAATGTACGAATCACGTACATGAGCGTGATGTCCGTTGTCTACCTCCGTTTATTTCCTTCATTCTTTGTATTTGCATCGGCTATCTGCGAATCAGGCGATATACCTACCGGAAGAGTACGTTCAGTGTTAATTCTCATAACAATAGATGTTACGATAGGCGATTTGGCAAATCTAAACGGAAATAAATATTTGTTCGGAAATAGCGCCTTGTTCTACTTAGATATTTCTATGTAACAATAAGTCAAAGCATGACAGACCACGCACACGTAGTTGTCAACGCTCGCAGCATGACCTGGTTGTAAACTTCCATTTCCCCATATGCCACAAGCCTCGTCTTTCAGTTTCGTATCGATTTTGACCGGACCTTGTCGAAACAGGTCCTAATTGTGCTGGTTCAAAACGTCCGGTGAACGTGTTTTAAGTTATCAAAAATGTCTTCGAGGGTGACAGTTTGGTAAAAAAAACATAAACGGTTGTGTCTTTACCAAACTCAACATATTTTTACATTGATTATTTTTTTATTGTAATTTTTGGCTGATACAGGAAAGAGGTGGGAGTACCTATCTTTTCACGAACTGATATCAAACTGACACATGAAAAGAACATAAAATTAAAATGACAGATAATAAAATACACAGACAACAAATTCGTTAGCGAAAGCCTGAGGACCACAAAGACGGAGAGGGGCGAGTAGGGAGGCGCTACTATCACTGGAACGTGACGAGCTTGGTTTTACGCCCCGGTGGCATTGTTTTTATTTTGCCAATAATAAATCATTATTTACATTCTTGTGTATGCTTTTTTCAATATACACCTCGACACTGTTGATGCCGAAGAACCACAAGCCCTAGACGTCAAGCGAGCAGTGGACTTTGACAAATGTGCCTTCAAAATGTGAGAAACAGAAAACACTGACAGACTACTTTAAGTAGATGAAGCAAGTTGTTAAGACAGTAGTACTTGCATTTACACGAGGAAACGCGTGTCGTTAATGTGATAAATTCAGTGAGTAATGTCTCTATTGTTATGTATAAATGGGAAAATTATTATTATTTTTGCAATGTCATTAATTATAAATTAAGGAATGAATGCATAAACAACATAACAATATAAATATTTCGTTTTTAATGATTTTATTACAAGGTACACACGGTTATTATCTGTCGTGAAGACGTCCGATTTTCGATCACAAATCACTTAATTTCGTTAATCCGACATACTCGTTAATCCGACACAATCATGTGAAACCAACGATGTCGGATTAACGAGACTTGACCGAACTCGTATATTCATGGGTCTATACATCCACTGTGGCATAGTGGGCACTGCAACCCTGATGGTGATACGGCCTAATCCCTTAATCCTTTGTTGTTATAAGATCCAAATTCAAAAGTGGGCACAGTGGGGGTAAACCGTCCAGACTAATTATGTCGTTATAAGCATGTGCTTGATAAACATAGTTTATTGTATAGAAGCGAGTAAACTCATCAAGGACCCTGCTGGCTAAAGGCAAGCACATAATCAACTTCAGGGAGAACAGTGCGAGGGCTGGTAAAAAAGTTCTAAGCCTGACTAACTTTTAACTGTGGGCCATAACAAAGTGAACTAGTCAATGTAGTACATTGTTTGCGTAGTTTATTGCAAGAGTATTTGGTCTGTTTAGGCCGTTTGTATAATAGTGACAGCCAGTTTAATGTGAAAGGGGTCCAAATGGACATGGAAATGGAAAAGAACGATTATCGAACAGTCATCAAGTTTTTTTACTTCAGAGAAAAGTACTCCCCAAACATTCATGACCGCATGTCACAAGTGTATGGGATTAAGTGCCCTAGCTATTTCACTGTTTAACGTTGGGCAGCTGTGTTTAAGGCCGGCACCATTCCACTTCTTCAGCACCAAAGAAGTTCAAGTCTTCAAGATAAATTAAGAAAGTTGTGGCCACTGTAGTCTGGGATGCAAATGGTGTGATCCTTGTTGATTACTTAGAAAGTCAAAAGACGATTACCGGTGCCTACTATGCTGAATTGCTTCATCGGATGAGAGATTCTATCAAAGAAAAGCGGCGAGGAATGCTGACTGTTGGAGTTCCAATTATTCATGACAATGCCTCTTCTCGCACCTCACGACTTGTAATGGTTGCTGTGAGACAATGTGGGTTCGAAGAGGTTCCTCACGCTCCATATTCGCCAGACCCGGCACCAAGTGATTTCCGCCTGTTTCCTAAAATGAAAGAACATCTTCATGGAAAGTGCTATGACGACAACGATGACCCCAAGCTGCTGTGAATGTGTTTTTCAGGGTGCTTTCAGAAATCTTTTTCCTGACTGGAATTGAAAAACGATATGATAATTGTATTGAAAAGCAGGAGGATTATGTTGAAAAATAAAAATAAAAACGCTTTCACAATTGTTGCTTTGTTTGTTGGGCTTAGAACCAGCCCTCGTATATTTATATTTGTTTCCGGTGTAATGCTGCACACAGCAATACACCAGGCGTATGATGCCGACCTGTAAACAATCGAATCTGGACCAGACAAGGAGATATATCAAGCAACGGGGCACGCCGTCAGGGTAAGATCGATGACACGCAATCAACCAAATGACCGAGACTGATCCCCCGATCTCGGCAAACTGGGATTCGAACCCACGATCGTACGAGGAGGCCAAAGGGACGCAACTCTATACAGCTAATTGCGGCGCCTTTGACAATAGGGCTAGGTTGACCTGGGATATTCAACGTTCTTGGGACAGTACTTGTAAAATTCACAAATTTGACACGTACAGTGTAATTAACAATAAAGTCTCACTGACTGAGTGAGTGAGTTGTTAGCGCGGAG